TTCAAAATTTAAACGTGAATATCTCCGCGGATATCGATGCTACAGGAATAATTTACATATCATCTTGTAGCCAAGAATCAGGGCTTTCGATTTGTCATAGAAATATCTTAGTAAAAAATCGCTTCCTGTCTCGTAAATTGCGACCAAAGTCAAAAAAATTGAATTTTTGAACGTAAATTCCGTGGGTCCCGTTTGTGTTACGGAAATTTACGTTCCGAAAAATTTTCTGATGTACCTATTGGGTACCCGATAGATTGATAATATAAAATTTTAAATTAACTTTATAGCAGTTACATATGAAAGTTTTTAATTTTATAATTAAATTGTCAATATGTTATAAAGTAATCTTGTAGACAATAAAAATCTACATTGAATGTAAAAATATTAGTACTATATAGTTAAAATTAAAAAAATTATAGATATTTTAATTCATGTAGCTATTCAAATTTTGATCGCTTGTGATTTTCTTAATTTTAAAGAACTGAAACTAATATTTCTATAGTCGATATACATTTTTATTATCAATGAGTCTACTTAATAGTGTTTTTGTAATTAGATTATATAATTAAAAATTTTATATGTAACTACGATTGCAAATTATTTTCAATTTTCCATTTTGATAAATTATATCCGATAAACATTTTTATAAAATCAGAAATAATTTTCAATTGTAGCTACATATAAAATTTTTTAATTATATAACCTAATTACAAAAATGCTATTAAGTAAATTTATTGATAATAAAAATATACATCGACTGTAGAAATATTAATTTTAGTTTTTTAAAATTAAGAGAATCACAAGTGATCAAAATTTGAATGGCTGTACAAATTAAAATATTCATAATTCTTTTAATTTTAACTATATAGTACTAATATTTTTACATTCAATGTAAATTTTTATTGTCTACAAGATTACTTAGTAATATATCAACAATTTAATTATAAAATTGAAAACTTTTATATGTAGCTACTATAAAGTTAATTTAAAATTTTATATTACCAACCTATCGAATACCTGATAAGTACCTAAAATTTAGAAAAACTAACATGGTTATCGGATATTCAATAAATACCTGATAAGTACCTAATAGGTATTCAATTCGAACCAGAAATTTGGATTTTTGACCTGTGTTCGAAGGATAATATATCAAAAAATAGTAAAATATTTATATTAATATTAACTTTTGAAGGTTTTCACTAGAAAAAATTTTCTAATGTACTTACTTAAGAAATAAATAAGTTTTTGAAAATTTCCAAAAAATTTTATTCTAAAATTTTATAATAATAATTTTTGAAAGAGTTTGAAATAAGATTATTTGGTATAATTATATAAATAAGATTATTTTATATTATATAATAAAAATACTTTTTATTTGATCAAAAATTTTCAAAGTGAAAATTTTCACAAATTTTATATAAAAATTTTCTGGAAATTTTTACCTTTTAGATTTTCTAATATGTGTTATGATTATTAATTCAGGAATTATAGTTACTTAATTTAAAATTAAAATTATATTTTTTGATTTAATTTGGGTGTTAATGTTATATTCTAAGATTCAAGTCAATTTAATTTGTAAATTTTTTTTTGTATTTAACAGTATTTCTTTTTATCAGATTTAATATTTTTATAGTTTAGCTATAGTAAAAATTATTTACAAAATTTAATCTAATATCAATAACTATATGAATTTTTATAAACAAAAGAAGAAAAAAGTTTAACTTGAATTTAAGTTAACTTATACCTGTATCTATTAAAATTTATAATAAAATTAATAAACAATATTATTCAAATTTTTTCTTACCAATATTTTTATAATTATTATATTATTATTATATTATTATTATATTATTATTATATTCTAATAAATTTTTATATGATCAAATTTCATATGTCAATCTTTAATCACATAAAATATGAAATTTGTAATCTATTGACTTAAGTTTCTATATGTACTATGATAAAAAGCCAGAGTACAAATAATTTTGTGATTTTTAATTTCAATAAAATTTTTGAATATTTATTTCATTTTCTTTTCTAGTGCAAAATTTTAAATGTTTGTATTACACTTCTTTCTTATTTTGAATTATTATATTAACAAGATAAAAAATTTGTTAATTAATGATTAGAAATTCAATTATGTTATCACATATATGTGATCAAAAATCTGGTTTAATAGTAAAATTGTTACTATTTCATCAAAATTGATTATCAAAAATTTAAAAATGTAAGATTATTGAACTTAATTTACTTTATTATTCCAAGGTCTTATTTTGTGTTTATTGCTTTTTTTGGAGGAGAAGTAACAATTTGAAAATCGGTATATTTATTTGTTAGAACTAGTATTTATTATTGATATGTTTATTTATTATTATTTTATTTATTAGTATTATTTATTCAAATTGACAATCAAAGTAACAAAAGTAACAGTCAACTTAATGATCAAAAATTGACTTAAAGATTGTCAAAGTTAATGGTCAAAGATTGGTACAATTAATGACAAATATATTGAACAAGTTTTTGGTCAAGTTAAATATTATAAAAAGGATATCATTCCAAAACAGATTCAATAGATCTAAAATTGTAGTTTAGATAGTAATCTCACTGTATTAAATCTGTAATTAATTCTATTATTAGTCAATACCATTCAATTCTTAGTCCTAATTTCCTAAATTGTTAACCTGAGTTTAATAGTTTAATTTTCATTTTTTAGATTAAATTCCTTATTAATTTTTAATAGTTAAATTATCTCTGTCCTTTAATTTTTTACTTAGTTTATTCTTATTAGTTAGTAGATAAATTTCTTTCTGTTTACTAGTTGTATCTCTCCATTTGAAAAATAAAATTAGCCCAAAAGGTTGACTAGTAACAGTGGAAAGGAAAGAGTTTTTTTGTCTCTCCTATACAAGTATATAAGAGTATATATACACTCTTTATTTTACAGATGTATTTTTGATTTTTATCATTTAAAGAGGTCTATTATAAATAATCTTTTATTTTACAGATATCATACGGTTATAAAGGTGATTGGGCTGTTGATTAGAAATATTCTACAACTACAATGGTGTTATAAAGGTATTTTTACTATATAACAATTAGATAACTTGTTTACTAAACTTGAGACTTTACTAAGTCTGAAAAGTTTAGAGATTTTACTTATAATGCTTCTTTCATAGGATTTGGTGTTAGTACGATGTATGGTGTCTGGGACTCTACGGTCGATCGGTCAATTGGCGGGAAGATTTAATGATAAAATCACTAAATTTAAGTATTTTCATTCAAATCTAGAAACCTGATGCATTTGACAAGAAATTTGATGCTCAAAATATATCTCTAAGCTCATCGAGGAAGTCAGCTATATTAAAGGTTTCGGGAACAAACGAGAACAACCCAATAAAAAAAAAAACGAAGAATAAAATTGATCACACCTTTATAATTATAATACGCTGTAAAGTTTTTCCCTCAACTCATAAAATTTAAACAAAATTTAAATTTTTTTATTGCAATACATATCTGTATCCCTCTTTATATTTAGAATGTTCCTTTCCTTCCGAAATTATTAATTATAAAATAAAACAAAGCTTTATTTTGTTAAAATTGCAAACTATATACTTTTACATGTAATATAAGCTTTGTGTGGACGAAAATCTTAATCACGCAGAATCGGAAAATTTGATGGACCCTAAATTAATAAAAGTAAACTAGAAAATCATGCGAATGTGGTGTTATATATATATATAAACAAAAATATTAAGAAATTTTGGGGATCACACAGTTCCTCCAAATTTGTCGAAAATACACATTCTGCAGTATAAGGACTACACAGATCGGATTAATCGAACAAAATTTGGAGTAAAAAATTCAATAGATATCTACAATTTTAGTAATTCACCCAAATTAGTAAAGCGATGTTTTTATTTTTATTATTTTTATCTTAGAGTTTTAAATAATTATAAATATAAAAAAAATAAATAAATTAGGTGGAAAAATAATTATAGGTGCTTACCCAATACTTAAATTGTAAATTATTATTAAAAAATTAAATTTTAAATGAAATACATAGTATTATCTAAAGAAATGATGTAGACAGGTGTCAAAAATTATAATAGAAAAAAAAACAATTATAATTTAATAATTCTTTACCTTTTGCTAGACTTTCTTTAACTTCTTTTAACACAAATTCGGTCTCCCCACGTGGCTGTTGTTCCAAATGTAACCTTGATTCGATAAAAAATTATTTATTATTAATAGTATTAATTAAAAGATATTAGAAAATCCCTTCTTAGAATATAATTTACCTTGCTCTTTTAGCCGCCAGATGTGCATAATCTTATAAAAAAAAAAGTGAACCATATTAATATTAAATATTTTAACATAATGAGAAAACTCGACATGAAATACTTACATGCGGCTGGAGAGATTGAGACAGACCGTGTCGCTCTAAACATGTAAAAGAATTATATCAAATATGCAAATTAATAAGATATAAATTTAAATTAAACATATCTAAGCAATTAAGTAAATAATTCTAACCGTTGATAATTATAGCAAAGTTTATGTGTCAAATTCTGTAATGTATCAGAAGTAAAATGATTCTCATCGAAAAGAACATGATCTAGAATAAAATTTTTAATTATATTAATTATTTTCGATAATTATAATAATGAAACAAATAATAATAATAATAATAATAATAATAATAATAATAATAAACTTATTTACAATGTGCCGGTCGGGATGTCCCGTGCAAACTAGTATGTGACTGCAAAACTAAATGTAAAATAAATAAATGTCAATTGTATAATAATAAAATATATTCTGTCAATAATATTTATTAAGAAATTAAAGAAAATACTTACAGAAATCAAACAAGTAAGGATGCGTTATTTTTCGATCAACGACAGTACCAGCCAAACAATTTCCTTTGCTGCAAAAAACAAAGTCTTTATGGATAATTAATTATATTCATCACGGAATTCAAAAAAATAAATTTTTAATTTTTACCTGTCAGCATCACGTTTACTTTGTGGATAAAACCTCGTGTGATGTCGTTTACCAACTATAACAAAAGTAATTGGAGGCTTATAATTGTCTTCGATCTTTTTACACGCCTCTAAGAAAAATCAATTCAACTTGTTATTTAATGAAATTTATGTTTATAGAAACAAATTTTATTTAATTCAACCCAACCTTTTATTTGTTCTAGTTCATGAGTCAAAACCATCTCAAATTGACTTTCCGAAACCCCATCACGATACATTATAATTCTTCTGGGTAAAATATTATTCTTAGTTCGGTAATCCTTCAAAATTTCTAATACCATACCACCCATGTTTTCGATCTTTTCTTGTCTAGTTTTCTGACTTTCAAGTTTAGGAATAAATCGTCCACCTTGGCAATCAAGAGAGCCAACAACCGCGCAAATAGATGGCATATCTTAAATAATTTATTTATAAAAATGTCAATTCTATGAATAAACTTTCACGAAAATGTATAGATATATTTACTTGAAGGACCAGCTTGACCTCCAGTAGGATGAGTAACATCAGCACCAAGTAGGATTACTGGCTCTTGTGTAAAAAGGGGTATTTCCGTTTCCTCGAGAGATTGATTTGTTCCTCCAAGTTTTAAATTTATTTTGAGTGCAATATTTGCGCAATATTGTTTCATTGCAGATCTTGTTTTTTCGTTAGATTTAAGAACCTTTGCAAGTTGAACACATTGTGAAGGAACACCAAGAACCGTATCGGTGGTATATTTTATTGCCCGATACCGTTTTTCGTCATCGTCCGGAAGAATAAACAACATCAATTGGAGGTCATTCTTTAAATATTTTCGAGCCTTATTATACTCTTGCTCAACTACACGATGGTATGTAGGTGGATCACCAGTAGGCCTTAAATACACAACTCTCGGTTTATTTTCCACAATATCCTGAATATTGTAATTTAAATGAGCAAAATATTCACGAATATACAAGAAGAATTAAATTTATTTCATATGTACCGCGGCATAAAAAAGCTTCTTATTATTACCATTCCTTGACTTTTACTGGTATCAACAAGTTCTTGTACAAATTTTTCAGCATCTTTAAGCCTTAGTTTTTGTTGTTGGACAAAAGCTACAACTATCCAATATTGCAGTGCCTCCCCACTTCTAACAAATTTTCTATCACGAAGGTTCCAGCCACCTTCACGGGGTTTGACAGTCCCACCAGCCTTAGATGATGGATTATAAGCTATTTGGGGTGGCCTTAATACACGTGCTTTTAATGACAAATATAATCAACTTAATAAAATGAGTAGAAATTTATAAGTAGAAATTTATCCTGGTTACAAATCCATTATTATGCATGCCTGGAACTTCAGCCATTTTTTCGTCAATGTTCATCCCAAAACTATGCAATTTAAAATCGTTTTCGAATTGCAAAACTTTTTGAACACCTTCTTTAATGCGCTCGACATTTTCTTCGGGACGCAAAGCCGTATATTTTATCATTGACCCTCTCTGTGCGCTTGTCAATTTTACTACAGGAAACCTTTGACCCTATATAATTTTGAAATTAATATAGAATGAAAGAAGTAAATACGATATTGCATTTATTTTGTTTAATTGCAAAATAATAATACCTCAATAATGTTACAGAGTTCAATTGGAATTTTGTCATTCCTTCGACCTTCAAGCTCAACAAGATGTGAATATTTAAGAGTTATATCATACCGACGTTGAAAATACGAATAAATATCTAATCTTTCACCAGTTTCTGGTATATCGCATGTTTCTTGGAAAGCGTTACTTGGATAAAGTCTTTTAATTTTAAGCCTTGTATTTACTTGAGGACGATGAAGCGGCTTAAATTGTAGTCCTCTTATGAGATCGGTAATTTTATCACGTTGAACTTGTGGAAAACGATCCGGAATGCAATCACTTCTTAAACCTAGATATTTAGCGATTAATTGAGAAAGAATCCCTGGCTCGTAAAAGACAGTATAGGTGGTGTTCACATTTACAAAATAACTGTCTAAAAGTTAAAAAATTCAAAATAAGTATTCATCAAAGAAAACACATTTGTATATTGACAATAATTAAAATTTTATATTATTCAGTTAATCATCCATTTGCGCTTTCTATATTATATCTTTACAATAATACCTTGTCCAGGTCTAACACTTTCAAACCATCCCATCCATAATTCTACACCTCCTCCCAAAGATTCTCGAGTAGAAGGTAAATAAGTAGATTCACCAAATTGAGTATATTTCATAGATGGAATGTGATGGATCAGAGCGTTAAGACCTTTAATACCAGCTATAAGTTTTAATTCATAAACAAATTAAATAAATAACAAAATTTAAATATAATTGGAATGGATTTCATGAGAATTCAAATACATAAATAATACAGCCATTCTTATGGGGGTATTAACAATATTGAACTTTATAATTCATTACCCAAATCAAAATATTCCCACTTCATCTCTTTTCCTTCCAGGCATTTTCTTAATTCTTCTAAATCAACACGATCAAGTTTGTGAACTTCTACATTATATTTCACACAATTTCCTGTGAAATCTTGGTCATCTTTTAATGTAACCTGCAAACACACAACAAGTTATGAGCAAATGACATAATAGAAAAAAAAATGAAAATTCGCATTTCCCACCCCGTATCTCACCGTTGTGTTCCCGGTATCAGATTTTAAATTTAATAGGTCTGTGGAATAAATAGTCGAGCTGCCTAATTTAGGTTTAAGTATATTCAATAAAAAGAGACCTTAATGATTAATTTCATTAAATTAAATCCATTCCCATAAAATGTAAATTAATGCAATTACCATCAAATACAACTCCAATTCCTTTGAACCACCCGTTACGCTGTTGCTTTTCTAGTTGTTGAAATACAGTACGTTGTACTTGGACCGGAAGTTTCGGTTGTCTTTGGGCTCGTCGTCTATGAGCGCCTTCACCGTCGGATCTTGATTGTACTACCAATTTCATCGTGATTTCATATTTCTCGAGGTATGGTTTATTCGCGATCTGATCGTAAAAATATGCCATCAAAAATTAAAATTGCGTATCATCCAATATTAACTTTAATAATTTAAGCAATCAAAAATGTATATTCACCCTCCTGACTTCGAAATAATTGGTCAGAACCTGAATCTGACGTCCGGATTTACCATAATCGGGACGTTTAACCATATTTTTTATGGCTTCTTCCCTTAAAGTATCATTTCGTTGTGCGATACCTTTTTTATCATTAACTTTTTTTTGGGCATTCATTGCCATTTTTTGAAATTTGGTTTTCTAAGAGAAACCAAATGTAAGGTTAATCGAAAGTGAGTGAAAATGAAACCAGAATAAAAAAAAAATAAAATAAATCGTGACGAGTTAGAAAGTTACCTCCAGCAGAACTCAAGTCAAAACAGAAGTTCACTCACAGCCTCAAATTGAATCATTTATAGTTACGCGAGATTATCAACATCCGATGCACGTGGTGTGGCTAACACAGTCAACATAAAATCTACAAACTACTCTATCTTAATATATTTTTACTTCGAATGATGGACTTATTGGTTATTATAACAAGGTATTTGTCCGTTTTCCATTTAATTTTATTCTAAATACAAACAATATCGGATATTGACATTTTTATTTTGTTACTTTTTTTTTCTAGCTTCGTTTTTTTTTTCTTTAATAGGCGTCCATCCCACTACCGGGCGTCGCGTACCTCGTATGAAACCAGGTTCTAAACAACAAGGTAAGTAGTATTTTTTTTTCGCTTTTTTATTAGTTTCCGTCCGTGACATCAGTGCCTTTGTAATGCTTAGGTGCGTGAGCGTACTGTCCGTGTCAGCACGAGTGCCTTGTAGCATAAGGATATTAGTGCAACTACCAAACATTACTAGCCTTTTTTATAAGGTCTTGTGTTGACTAGCTGTCGTTGCGCATTCAAAGTGCTAAAGTATTTTTTGTATGACGCAATGTTCTGATTGGTCAGAATTTTTTTAATGAAAAAAAAAAAAATTATTTATTTTTTATATTTAAGGGAAATATATTTTATCAATAGAAATCAATGTACAAATAATTTTCCTTCTCTTTCCCTTTCTCCTTCCTCTTCTCCTTTTTTTTTCTCTTTTCCCTTCTCCTTCTTTTTTCCCTTTTCCCTTCTCTTTCCTCTTCTCCTTCCCTTCCCCTTCCCTTCCCCTTTTTCTTCTCCTTTCCTTCCCCTTTTTCTTCTCTTTCATCAAATCACCTTCTCTCTTTAAAATTGTGAACAAAAAATCATCAAAATTGTTGAGTTGTCCATTGCCATGTTGCTAATGCTAAAATCTCCAAAATAGCAGTCCTAAGAGAAGAAAAGTAAGATCAAGAGGTTTATATGTTACCTGAATTCAGAAAAAGAAATATTAACAATGGGATTAGCAAAATTTTATTGATAATATTTCCTTTCCTGAATTTGGGTGACATGAAGGACAAGAGAGAATGGACAAGAAGAGAACAAAAAATAAAAGGTTAGAAACAAAAAAAAAGGAAAAGAGAAAGGATCATATATTGCCATATTACTGATGTCAAAATTGGTGAAATCTCCATTATAAAAGAAAAAAGTGTGAAGCAAAGAGAAATAAACAAGAAGACAAAGAAATAAGAGGTCAGGAACAAAAGAAAAAGGTTTGGAAAAGTTAAATTACCAAAATCATGTATCACTATGTTATCAATATCAAAATTGTTGAAATCTCATTGTAAAAAGAATAAGTGAGAAAAAAAGCAAAGAAATAAAAAGGTAAGGAACAAAAGAAAAGGTTGAAGAAAGGAAAGAAAATTGTCAGAATGACAATTCAGTAATTTTAACTTGACAATTTTATAATAGATAATTTTGAATAAAATAGATAATAAAATTATAAACATTTAAATGAAATAAAGAAAAGAGAAAGAAAGAAAAAAGAGTATGAGAAAATAAGATAAAACATTGAAAAAAAAAGAAAAAACAATAAAATATAAAAAAAATAAAGATGTAAAAGGTAATTTTCTTATTTTAAAAACTTAGTATTTTGTTTATTTGTAAGCATATATTTTCAATTCTATTTATTTAATTTTTTAATAAATAATTTAATGTAGTAATTATATTATATATTATCAAATAAGTACTAGTTAAAATTGGTGCTATAGTTTAATCTAGTACATCAGGAATTTTTATATAATATTCTACAATGTTTTACAAATGGAACGTTCGTATAGCGTTCTATATATGCCATTCTACAACGTTTTATGAACGTTACGTTCTAGAACGATCCATTCTACAACATTCTACAAATGATAAGTATAAATAATGTTATATAACGTATCGTTCTAGTACATTTTGCAAACTATCAGTATTAATAGCATTCTAGAATGATCCATTCTACAATGTTCTACGAATGATAAGTATAAATAATGTTATATAGTGAATAGTTCTAGTACGTTTTGCGAACTTCAGTATTAATAATGTTCTAAAACAATCCGTTTTAGAACGTATTACGAATATACATATTTATAACGTTATATAAAGCTCCTCATAGGCCGAGCCGAGCCGAGCCTCATAAAGCTCAGGCCGAGCTGAGCCTAAAAGTCTTAGGCTCGGCTCAAGCCTGAGTTTATAAGTTAAGCTCGAGTCGAGCCGAGCCTTACTTATATAGGCTCGGCTCGGCTCGAGCCTCATAGTAGGTTCATAAACTTAACAATTCACGGACTTTTTTTAATAATGCGAATTTCTTTATTATTATTTGCTAAAATTACAAAATTTTAACTATAGATGTAGATTTTC